GTTCACTTTAATCTATGATATACCTGCTCGTGAGTCGTGCTCAACTCTTCAGAGACAATATTACAGATATACTGAGATATACAGATATACAGATATACTGAGTTTTCCATTCAACATTTGAGACAAAATGGCCAATGGGTCCAATGGGTCCAGTGGGTCCAATGAACCATGCATGATATATGATATTGATAAAGACAAAATGACAAACAAATGTCTACTTTATACAAAAAAATCAAATATGGACAACAAAAATAAAATAGAAAATCGTGGACTGAAGGTTTAATTCTATGCATGTATATATTAGTTATAAAATATTTCTATAAAAGATTAGATATATCCGACCAGTTTAAACCTTTAGATCGATCGACAGAATTATCTACCATACGGTCGTCTTTAAAATCTTATCCTTTGTGTGTAAACTGTATAATGTGAGTAGTTTAATGACGAATAGAAAATCTTTTATCCTTGTTTTAATTGATTTTTTGTTAAACTTGAAGTTACAAAAACATAAGAATAATCATTATCTGCCGTTTATGTACTGAATAAACTCAAAATTGAGAAAACGGTTGAGCCGAGTGGATTATAATTATTATGTTAGACATGGTAAAATAAAAAAAAATCCTAAACTCGTGAAAATTTTCGCCATCGAAAGTATGGTGGGAGGAAGTAAGACAAAATGTTTCCCTTAAATGTTCCAATTTTGAGGAAAAAAATTTAAAATAAATTTATTATTAAATTGTTTAGGCGTGGATTAGGATCTAGGTTGGGTCCGAATGGGTTTACAACTGTTGGAAAAATGAAGGTATAACATATGTTTAAATTTTAAATTTTTAGAACAGTTTTTGTTGTTGTAACACATTGTAAATTTGTAATGCTTAAAAATAATTATCCTAATTTAAATTAAATATTGGTTCGCTTCAACCCTGAAAGCCATCACACTTACTTATTATTTTGGTTTCCAACGCAAGTGCAGATTTTACTTGCATGCAATTGCAAGCCCTGTAATTTTGCGCAATTCCGCGCAACGAAATTCTGATTAGAAATCCGTTGGTATATACGCCCAGTGTTATAATAGATTACTCATGGAGAATTTATTTTATTTTAGAAAAACTAAATAGGGAAATATTACATCGCTAAAACATGCAATATATAGCATATGTATCAATTCAAAGTTGAACCCAGCTAATTGAAAAAAATTTCGAGCATGTTCCACCATATTTGAAGCAATGTAATATTAATATAATTATTATTACGATTACGATATATATATATAAATATATATGTTAATATATATAATATTCGTTGCACATAACAGTACAATAGATTAAAAAAGAATACATGGATTAGACTTTAATGAACTGTCCTATGTTTTTTAAACCTCCCTGTACTGTAGGTAAAGATTCCTAAGTATAACTGTCCTATGTTTATTAGATCACCCTGTACTGTAGGTAAAGATGCCTAAGTATAACTGTCCTATGTTTATTAGATCACCCTGTACTGTAGGTAAAGATGCCTAAGTATAACTGTCCTATGTTTATTAGANTAGTTTCTGTATCTACTGGGTGTCCAACTTGATATATTTTGGTTTCTGTATCTACTGGGTGTCCAACCTGATATATTTTGGTTTCTGTATATACTGGGTGTCCAACCTGATATATTTTGGTTTCTGTATCTATTGGGTGTCCAGCTTGATATATTTTAGTTTCTGTATCTACTGGGTGTCCAACTTGATATATTTTGGTTTCTGTATCTACTGGGTGTCCAACTTGATATATTTTAGTTTCTGTATCTACTGGGTGTCCAACTTGATATATTTTGGTTTCTGTATCTACTGGGTGTCCAACATGATATATTTTAGTTTCTGTATCTACTAGGTGCCCAACTTGATATATTTTGGTTTCCGTATCTACTGGGTACCCAACTTGATATATTTTGGTTTCTGTATCTACTGGGTGTCCAATTTGATAAAAAGAGACATTTCTTGTTCTTGACATATATTGTTATTAGATACAAAGCGTCCCATTAGTCTTATACAAGTTTTAAGTGTTTAAAACGTTTTATTAGTCACTGAAAATTCTTTACATGTTTTCCAATATGATGCAGGACACCCTGTATCTCTCCCATCCTTCCAACAGTTCTCAGTCTAATATAAAACAAAAAAGAGCAAAAAAACTTTGGTTTCACATGACAATATACAGTACAATAAACAGTAAATATACAGTACAATATAAAATGCAGTACACTATACATTACAATATAAATACTATTTACAGTACAATATACAGTAAAATATACAGTACAATATACATTGCAATATACAGTACAATATATATTGCAATATACAGTACAATATACAGTACAATATACAGTACAATATACAGTACAATATTTAGTACAACATACAGTACAATATACAGTATAATTTAAAGTACAATATACAGTAAAATGTACAGTACAATATACAGTACAATAGACAGTACAATATACGGTACAATATACAGCACAATATACAATACAATATACAGTATAATATAAGTACAATATACAGTAAAATAAACAGTAAATATACAGTACAATATAAAATGCAGTACACTATACATTACAATATAAATACTATTTACAGTACAATATACAGTACAATATACTGTATAATATGCATTACAATATACAGTACAATATACAGCACAATATACAATACAATATAAAGTATAATATACAATACAATGTACATTACAATATAGAGTACAATATACAGTACAATTATGCAGTACAATGTACAGTACAATATACAGTAAAATATACAGTAAAATATACAGTACAATATGCATTACAATATACAGTACAATATACAGTACAATATACAGTACAATTTACAGTACAATTTACAGTACAATATACAGTACAATATGCATACAATATACAGTACAGTATACAGTACAATATACAGCATAATATACAGTACAATATACAGTACAATATACAGTATAGTTATGCAGTACAATGTACAGTGCAATATTCAGTAAAATAGATAGTAAAATATACTGTACAATTTGCAGTGCAATAACAGTACAATATACAGTACAATGTACAGTACAACATACAGTACAATATACGGTACAATATACAGTACAATATACAGTATAATATAAGTACAATATACAGTAAAATATACAGTAAAATATACAGTAAATATACAGTACAGTATGCATTACAATATACAGTACAATTTACAGTACAAAATACAATACAATATACAGTACAATTTACAGTACAATATACAATACAATATACAGTACAGTATACATTCCAATATTCATTACAATATAAAGTACAATATACAGTACAATATACAGTACAATATACAGTACAATATACAGTAAAAGATACAGTACAATATACAGTAACTATACATCACAATATAGAGTACAATATACAGTACAATATACAGTGCAATTATGCAGTACAATGTACAGTACAATATAGAGTAAAATATACAGTAAAATATACAGTAGAATATACAGTACAATAACAGTACAATATAAATGTATGTTTTTCCTAGTCCCTCGAAGCTGGACCCTAATTCGCCAGCAATGGAGAAACTGAAAAAATCTAAAGTTTTCAACCCTTCAAGATCATCAGTTCTTCTTGTTCTCCAGGAAAGCACATACAAATTCTTTTTCAGATATGAACAACGAACTTATGAACGTTTACATTTGTGTGTTAATTTTCAAATTCTCCCCTTTTTTTAAATCAGCAAAAAAGTGAAATCAACTTAACATTTTGGTTCGAGTTTTCAGTTTATTGAAATCACTTTGTGCGTCAACATAACGTTTTTACCTGCGGCGGAAGTAAAAGCAAGAATCATCTAGTTAAAATTCGGATTTTTTTTTTGATTTTTTAGTTTTTTTAATAAAGTTCATATTTAAATATCAAATCAGAAAAAAATTAGTTTCAACTTTTGATTAATTTTAATATTAATTTATTGTCAGAGAGTTAATTTATCAAAAATCAGCAAAATAGAAGATAAAAGAATATTTTCAACTTTGTTTTGATTTTTTTCCAAGTTCAGAAATAGACAATATTTAATCGGAAAACAGGACTTGAGTATTTGGGATGATTGTTTGCTCTATATAATATGGATCTATGAAAATGCACCAAGAACTATACTACATTACAAGTACGATTTTGTAACATCATAGCTCATGTTATTTTGATTTTACACTCAAGTATGAAAGCAACAAGCTTTAAAGTTACATTTTATAAATTAAAACATTTTTGTCCTTTATATAGCTCTTCAAGAAAGAAGTAATGATTGAAAACATATGAAATCAATTCTTAGTGGAAATTACTGTAGTTTGACGTCAGTCTGAGTTTTCTTTGTATTTTTCATAGATTATAACAATACATTTAGATCACTATATGTCATCTTTAAAAGATTTATGGGTTTTTCGTTCATAATAACCCTGAGGCAGAAGCCCAAAGGAATCTTGAAAAGACAACTTCTAGTGTTCTATCTGTATTGTTATTAATCTATGCAGTACACTGAATTTATAAATAAAGGTATGGAAGTTCCTGCTGATGTATCTTCCAGGATTAGAACCATTTTTTTAATGTTATTTTACATTTTTAGCATTTGTGTACAGGGTTACCCACAAAGGATGAGACAATTTAATGACGACCTTTAACTCTAAGGTATGATTTGCCAGGCAAATATTCTTTAAATGGCACGTCTAACTAAAGTAAATTGAACGTATGATTGAAATCTTATTTGTTTCAAATCATAACTCTTCTTACGGAGAAGATCAAATTTGATTTTCTCATTCTTGTGTGTAAGATGAAAACAAGAGGAGCTGCGAGGTCACAAAGTCACACCAGTGATGTCACACAATATTTACCTTCTCCTTCTATCTAGTTTACAGTCATGGTTTACTTAATGATATAGTAAAGATCATAAAACGTGTTCAGCAGCGGAAAATAAGGAATATGTAAGAAATAAGAAAGAATAATTCCGTACAGTCGTCTTTTATGCCTCATTCTTTGTGGGCCCCCCTGTAAAAAAGTAAATATGTGGCAGGATCATGACAGCGGTAGATTTGAAGTTGACACAGGATCCATTATCCAGGTTTAAACTCTTTTCATAATTTTCATCTTCTTCTCTTCAATAAATAGTGGAGCAGTGGTTGCCCTGTCATAACCGCAGTGCTCAGCCCACAAATTGTTTCCTCATCTGAACATTTTAATTGGGGGGGGAGGGGGTAGTCCCCATTTTCAGGCTAGCTTTGGGGCTAATATATTGGTGGGAAGTTAAAAGAAATGATTAAAAAAAAGTTTTATTAATGATTTAATTTTGTTTCACTGTTCAGGCAAGACAAGATGTACGCAGAATCTGAACACTGTCTTTACCTGAACAACAGAGAACTGCTGTACGCAGAATCTGAACACTGTCTTTACATGAACAACATGAACTGCTGTACAATAAAATTTCCTTTCTGAACAATTTAAGATAATTTATTAAAATCTGATGTATTCTTTAACCCAACATTTGAAAAAAAATAATTTTTATTGAATAAAGATAGTTTAGTGTATGTTTGTTCACAAAATCTAAAAAAACATGCTTATCATCAGCAAATATTGATACTTTGAAGGTAGACTGACTAGCTTCAATCATGAATATTTGCTATATTGCAGGGCAAAATTTTTTTTAAATAAGATTAAAACGGAAAAAATTAACATGAACATATTATTAGATATATATCTTAAAACATTTTGTTTAAAAAACTTTAAGATAATATATTTTATTTTAAACTAACTTTAAAAATAAAGATATTTATACTATCTATAGCATTAAAGTTTTTAGTATTATCATTTTATTGATGTTAGGTCCAAAAGTCACAAAAGCAAATTGTTTTTCTTCATTTTTTAAAATATAGTATAATTTAGATATGTTCGAAAATATAGTATAATTTAGATATGTTAGAAAATATAGTATAATTTAGATATGTTCGAAAATATAGTATAATTTAGATACGTTCGAAAATGTAGTATAATCTAGAGATGTTCGAAAATATAGTATAATTTAGATATGTTCGAAGATATAGTATAATTTAGATAGGTTCGAAAATATACTATAATTTAGATATGTTTGAAAATATAGTACAATTTAGATATGTTCGAAAATATAGTATAATTTAGATACGTTCGAAAATATAGTATAATCTAGAGATGTTCGAAAATATAGTATAATTTAGATATGTTCGAAAATATAGTATAATCTAGATATGTTCGAAAATATAGTACAATTTTGATATGTTCGAAAATATAGTATAATTTAGATATGTTAGAAAATGTAGAATAATCTAGATAGGTTCGAAAATATGGTATAATTTAGATATGTTTGAAAATATAGTACAATTTAGATATGTTCGAAAATATAGTATAATTTAGATATGTTCGAAAATATAGAATTATTTAGATACGTTCGAAAATATAGCATAATTTAGATATGCTCGAAAATATAGTATAATCTAGATATGTTCGAAAATATAGTATAATTTAGATATGTTCGAAAATATAGTATAATTTAGATACGTTCGAAAATATAGTATAATCTAGAGATGTTCGAAAATATAGTATAATTTAGATATGTTCGAAAATATAGAATTATTTAGATATGTTCGAAAATATAATATAATTTAGATATGTTCGAAAATATAGTATAATTTAGATATGTTCGAAAATATAGTATAATTGAGATACAGGGTGTCCCACGAAACATGACTAGCTTCAATCATGAATATTTGCTATATTGCAGGGCAAAAAAATTTTTAAATAACATTAAAACGGAAAAAACTAACATGAAAATATTATTATGTTCAAAAATAAAGTATAATTTAGATATGTTCGAAAATATAATATAATTTAGATATGTTTGAAAAATAAAATCAAACCTCTAATTGATTCTCACACCTTATTATTTGGTTAAAGTTGATATTTCTTGTTTCAATATATAGCGCTTCCTATATTTAGCAAATGAATTGGTATATTTTTTTCCTACTCGACTTGAATGGAAAGATATATAATTATGAAAAAGATAACTTAGCAGATTTGGCCAAACATTCTAAAAATATCTTACAGGGTATTCCCCCCCCCCCCCCCCCGGCCTGAGCCTGAAATTTTAAGACAGAGTATCGTCATGAAACTCGGTATGGAAACCTAGGTTTCGTGATTTGGGCAAGATAATTTTGAAGATATTTTATTTGGTTGCTTTTGTATTGTTTTATGATTTTCGGGGTTTTACATTTATATCTTTACAGATCTGTAGAACCCTAAAAGGAAACTCGGGAATTCCATTCAGCAAGACTGAGCAAGACTCAAAGAATATTTTTCCTTGTATACAGAATGTACTGAATAACCCTGACTACAATATACCAGTTCTGTGTTCTCATATATGCACCTATAGCTGTATCAGGCAAGTAAGCCCTATTTTCTATAAACTTCACTACGCTGTGCAGTGTACACAGTGCACAGAGTTCAGATCAACATATTTGTATAGAGCATCGCTCTTATTTTGATTTTAATCAATTTATGTGTTTCAATACAAAAAAAAATAATGTAGCACATTCGGGGTTCTTGAGTAGTTATCCAACTTAAGTGAACTACCAAACAAATGACCTATACAATAGAACTACCAAAAAGGTGACCTATACTGTGAAATAGCAAACAAGTGACCTATACTTTGAACTGCCAAACAAATGACCTATAATGTGAACTACCAAACAAGTGACCCATACTGTTAACTACCAAACAAACTGTGAACAGCCAAACAAGTGACTAATTATATTATGAACTACCAAACCAGTTACCTATACTCTGAACTACCAAACAAGTGAACTATACTGTGAACTGCCAAACAAGTGACCTATACTGTGAACTACCAAACAAATGACCTATACTGTGAACTACCAAACAAGTGACCTATACTGTGAACTACTAAACAAGTGACCTATACTATGAACTACCAAACAAGCGATCTATACTGTGAACTACCAAACAAGTGACCTATACTGAAAACTACCAAACAAGTGACCTACACTGTGAACTACCAAACAAGTAACCTAAACTGTGAACCACCAAACAATTGACCTATACTGAAAACTACCAAAAAAGTGATCTATACTGTGAACTACCAAACAAGTGATCTATACTGTGAACTACCAAACAAGTTACCATACTGAAAACTACCAATTAAATGACCTATTCTGTGAACTACCAAACAAGTGACCTATACTGTGAAATGCCAAACAAGTGACCTATACTGTGAACTACCAAACAAGTTACCTATGCTGAAAACTACCAAACAAATGACCTATACTGTGAACTACCAAACAAGTGACCTATACTGTGAACTGCCAAACAAGTGACCTATACTGTGAACTACCAAACAAGTTACCTATGCTGAAAACTACCAAACAAATCACCTATACTGTGAACTACCAAACATGTGACCTATACTGTGAACTACCAAACAAGTGACTTATACTGTAAACTACCAAACAAGTTACATATACCCTGAACTATCGAACAAGTGACGTACCATAATACCGTTAACTATATTACAAGTATCAAGAGTTTCAGATAAAAGCATCATTTTCAAATTATTTTTTGAAAATCCGTGAATAGTTGAAATACATGGTGGATCCTGGACAAAGTTATCTCTTCGAATAAACAATGCGTCTGACTATTAAAGTAAGAGACTAGTGAGTTTAAAGGGAGTGTTCGCGAAAAATGAAAGGGGGGTATAGGCTTAATGCGATAAAAAGCGCTTTTGATCGCTACTAATCTTACTTTTATCTGTTGCGTCTATAAGGAGAAAATTGTTAAAACGACTCACACCGAAGAACGCAGCGTCCATACAAATTCGGAAAGATGCAACATTCAACTCGGATGGTAAACAAATCAATTTAATTACAAACAAATCATTCAGATATTCAAAACAGTAGGCATCGATTATTTTTCGACGCATTCGTATATAGTTAATATTTCATAATATTTTTGATTTTGTTTTTTTTAAATAATTTTCGCTGGCGATGGATTTTCGAACATTCCTGGAAAATATGAAAATGTCGTCTTCATTTTCAAAAATCCTCGAAACAGGAATAAATGTTTTCAAAAGTAACTCTCAGATCATGAAAAATACATTAAGCCTATATGCCCTTTCATTTTTCGCGAACACTCCCTTTAAGAACAATATTAACAAAGGATAAAAACTTGAAAAAATTGCATGAACATATTTTTTAATAAACATAAGTTTCAGATAAAGGGTGTAATTGTCATGTCTTCTGTTCAGCAGGGTGGCAGCTGCAAATTTACAATGGCGGGTCGCAGAACACAAAAAATAACTATAAAATCATTTTTAAATCCAAATTTTTTGTATGGATTAGTTTTACTGTTACAAATATTTGTTGAATATGAATAAAAAAGCTTATATCGCTAATATTGAGAGTTCTAGAATTTAAAATATAAGTGGGCACCTTTTAATGTACACCCTTTATCTATCTTCTAAATAATAAAGCTCTTTGCTCATGCATATATGTTAGCTATAGCTGGCCAAACGGCTGGACCAAATGGGATGACATTTTTTGAGGGAACTCATGGGTTCCCAAGGAGTAAAATAGGCTAAACAAATTTTGACATTTTTTTTTCGAAAATCACCATTTTTTTTAAATCTAATTTTTTTCTTCAAAATTCCAAAAAGAAATCCACGGGCAACGCCGGGCACAGCTATTATAGTTATAAAATGCAAGATAAAAGAGAGATCGTTATTCAAATTTTATTGAATTAATAAATTATTTAACCAATATAGAATTTCATCACATACAGTAACAACCAGAAATAGGAAGACACTTCTGATGAATTTTGAACACAGCAATTGATTAACAAATTTTAGAAAATAGATATTGATATAAATCACAAAGAATTAATCTAATAAAAAATTCACAAAAAGGTCTTTTTCTTGTAAAATTGTACAATAAGGTGTTTTACACGGGTGACATATTATAATCCACGGCACATATATTTTGTATTTATGTCCACCAAAAATCCAAACCATTAAGTGATAATATTTATTCAAAATTACTGGCACGAGTTTGCGATCTCGTAGCTCCTCTATAATCAATTTCATATCTATCTGATATGACAAAATTTGCCCCCAAAAGTAAAATGAATTTAGCTTTTCCATTATGTGGTGTATGATAAGCTAAGTAATATTTAAGTCGTCTCTCAACTGCTATGTTTAATGGGACGCACTGTAGATTAAAAAAAATACATTAATTAGAAGTGATTGAATTATTTATTAATTGATTGATTAGTTGTTGAGGGATTTAACTGTCCGCAGTGCCTACAAGCTGGAACCGGTTCCTAAGTGTACAATAGCCCAGCAGGCGCTGAAGGCTCTGGAGATTAACCCTGAGAATCCTGTAATTATTGATGGGTTGACGGGAGATGTCACTACCAGGGGTCAACTTGCTGAGCAGGTCAACACCTACCTTCCTTAGAATATTTGCATCACTGCACAAAATTTCCGGGATCCAAACCGGTGCAACCATTTTCTGGTACCGCTGGTACCAGCTGTTCTAGTTTAACCGTACCTTATCACCTTATATGGCACTAGCCGTTCTAGTTTAACCGTAGTGAACATTCACTTCATGTGCTGGTACCAGCTGTTAAACTAGCTTTAATAGCAACACCGACTTCTTTCTATTCATTTACTTGTACCTGTACCAACTGTTCTAGTGTAACCTAACTTTATAACCTTATATGGTACCAGCCGTTTCAGTTTAACAGTACTGAACATTCACTTCATTTACTAGTAACCAGCTTATCTAGTGTAACCGTACCATATTATTACCTTATATGGTAACATCGTACTGTACATTCATGAAAAACACATTGACTGGTTATATTTTTGTGACATTTTGCCATTTATTATTGTTAGAAGTTATTAAATCAATGTTTGAAATATCAAAAAAGATTGACGACGGTTCGACCTTTTGAGAATTATAATGAAATGTTAACATCCTAACAGATGCGCATACGATACAGAAAGGGGGTAAGGGGGTCAAACCCCTCTAAAAAAAGTATAAACTGATGTATTCCCCAACAGGGACCAAAGACTTAAGCCCCCTCCCCCTGGAATGTAAAAAACGTTAAGCCCCCCCCCCCCCCACCCCAGGTTAAACTCCTGTATCCGCCCCTGGGCCCTGATCAATAATAATAAAGCTCTTATTAAATGCAGAGCAAAATTGATCCTTAAGCAACACTCTGATATGATTTTATTTAATTGACTTAATGCTTTTATAGAAATGAATACATTAATTCTAGAATCAAGAACAAAACAATATAAATAGACGAAATGTTTTAACTTAAGGGACTGTATGCATAATCTCAAGTGACCCTCCATGCAAAGATGACAATGTCCGATTAACGATGGTACCCTTGAAAGCTTAGTCTAATCAAGTATGATTTAGATATCCTTGTTTATAATTTCGAACACTGATTTTTTTCAATTGTGAGTTCGACTTTACAAATCTGACTTCCGCTTTTCCACTGAAAGAACACATGAAGGAATTTTTAAAATTAAACTTAGAAAATCGACAAATCTTTTACAATATTCTTCTACATTTTTGATCAGAAATAGGTTTAATAATTCATTATTTTGACAGCCATGATAATGTTTAGAATTCATACATATTTCTAGCAAAACCAACGACTACCAGTTTATTTATTTGCATTATTTTCCTTCAGATTTTACGTGTGGCTGGTTGGGTGTCTCAAAATATTGAAGAAGGTAAATTTTTGATTAATTATTGATTGAAACCATATGCTTACAGATTTTGATATTTAAGGAGATGTGATTGGACTGTCTCTGCCTAACATCACTCAGTACATGAGTACAGCCTTAGGGAGTATTCATGGTGGTGGCGTAGTTTCTCTTTTCAACCCCATCTATACTCAGAGGAAAATATTTATAATTCAAATTTTCAACACAAGATGGCACTGATTATTATCGTTAGAGTTTAGAATCTCTAGGCGGGGTGCAGCGTTGTTTAAATTATGACATAAAAGAGAGTCAAGGCAAAATATGTTGAGTCCGAAAACTTTAAGCTCTGATTACACCTTTTGGTTTATTTTCAACAGCTGTTTTTATTAATCTAAATTGATATTATATATTTTCTGAAAAAAAAAACTAATATTGATCATTTGACATCATCATTGGCAATAACTGAACAGAAGCTAAAACTTTTAATAACTTATTTCTTTATACATCATAACTTGAAATAAATAATTGACAGTGAACTAGAGCACACTGTAGGGTTAGTCAAGTAAGTAAGAAAAATGACATTATTAAAGGGATTGTTTCCTTATTTTGAAAATACTCATAACATCCCATTTTTTGGAATTAGAGGAACACAATTAACACTGTAAACAAGATGTAAGGATAAGGTCAAATTTATGCGACATTACTGGCTTTGTGACCTCGTAGCACCTCAAGTTCTGATTTTAAGTTCAAGTTTTAACAGAGCAAATTCATTCGGTTACATACAAGAAATTACAGACATTTTTGTTAATGCTATAAGAGGGGTTGTAACTGCTATTTTACTTACCAGTCACAACTAGCCAGTTTATTGAGGCTAAGAATGGTCAGAATTTTTCAGCAAAATTTGCTCCGCGTTTTGCTGATTAAAGCTAGAGTTGATTATATAAGTCGTTTTCAATTTTTTTCGATACCTACTAAATTTAAAAAAAAAACATCTTTAAGCGCAGAAATATAGGCTTCGTTATTATTCTGAACTTGAAAATTAGGGTATTTATGGTTACTTTTAAAGTGTTTCTCGAAACCTTGGATATTTGTTATTTTGTAAGATATTCGGACATTTTTTATATTTATAAAAACTCACAAATTGATATTTTTCTTTTAACAAATTTTAAATATTCACAGAGTTAAGAAAATATAAATTTCTTAATGTCGTCATTCTACCAATTGTTTTTTTTTTAATCTCAGTATATAGTTTATCTAATCATTTAGCATGTGTTTATAGACCTAAACTGATTATTTAATCATTTATCATGTGTTTATAGACCTAAACTGATTATCTAATCATTTATCATGTGTTTATAGACCTAAACTGATCTTCACAAGCGCTCTTTCTCTAGATACCTTCAAGGCAATAAATTGTTCTGTTGAGGTAATTTAAACCCAGGTTTGATTTAAGTCTTTTGTTTTTAGCGTTGTCTTTAAATTGTTTATTCAATGATTTTGCTAAAAAAGAAGTTTATAGTTGCAGGGAATCATTAATATACAGTGATAACCAGAAAACAATGGAATAGACAGACGACATTATAGCAATATATAAGCGTTTTGATGTTGTTGCAAAGCAAATATCAATTTAAGTGAATGGATCTATTTACACTGTACAATTGCTATGTCTAATTTTCATTGAACTAGTTTAAGTCCTAACTTAAATTTAAAAGTCGTCTTCCTATTTCAGAGTTTTCTGGTTATTATTGTAAGGAAGCAGAATATAAATTCCATACAGTCGATTCTTAAGTCTCATCCTTTGTGGGTAACTCTGTAGATTTAGATTTTATATTTTTGACAAACATTTTTTTCCGTTTAAAATCTCATTTTGTTGTTTAGAGTATTGGGAGTAACCTTTAGTTTATCAGTTAGATTTAATTATATTTTTTTTAATAAACATTTTCCATCCTGGAGTTTAGTTAGCAGAAAAATATAACGCCAATTATAATTCTGAAAATTCCAACAACAAAAAAAACATTTTGAGAATTAGGTTTGAAATTATAATGCTTAAAATTGATTTACAAAAACCATTGAAACTATATAAGGGTGGGATAGGGTGGCGGGAATCGTTCGATAAGAATTGTTTTTGCATTTAGATAAAAGGTAAAATTAAACAAATCAAGTAAAGGTTTATATTAAATTATCAAATATTAAAATTATTCAAAACCTAACATTTAAACATAATATTTAGTGTGAACAAAAAACAGGAATTTTAATTATAAATCTGGATTAAAAAGTATTAAGTCACAATTTTTGTCTTTTAACTATTGTAATTATAATGTTTTGTAATTGATATGTATTTTATTTAACAGGTTTTAAATTAAGATTTTTGCTCTCGTTTCATTTATTTTGATTTGTTCACACAGTTTCATTTAGAAGTATGTTGTGTTCGGGCCGGAAATTCAAGGAACAATCTCGGCAAAAGTCGTCTTCACTTCAGGTTTATTTCTGTTAAAAAAATCTGATAAATTATTAGACTTTAGAAAGATTACAAATTCAAATTCATGAAAATTAAAGCGTAGCACATGAAGGGATGGATCGTTTCCCCCTTTTTTTTTTTAAACGACCCTTCGTTAACGATTTTTAACGACCTATTGGTTGAAAGTCAAAGTTCGCAAAAAAAATGACAAATAAAAACTGCTCCATGTGCTATCCTTAAACATCATCGAAAAAAGATTTTTAAAAAATTATGCAAAATAATAACTATACGCACCTTATAATTAAAAAAAAAGTATATAAAAAATTTAGTTTAAACAATCCTGCCCTGATTCTGAATCACCCTTATGCATGCTTTCATTGTTAATATTTTTAAAGATGTTTTTCAGACAAGATTGCTGAAGGTGTTGGAGTCGGAGATTTTAACGATACAACACTTCTGCCCCTCAGCAGCGGAACAACAGGTAAAAAATTATTTTTTTTTAAATTGAATATTTTTATATTTTCTAATATTAGGTCTACCTAAGGCAGTCTGCTTGTCCCACAAGAACTGTGTGACATACAATGTGATAGTAAGTATTTTACGATTAATTACCTCTCATCTGTTTCTCCATTTGCAGAGTGGCATGTCTGATTTAACGGTACCCTTTAAGACTTTGACTATCCATGGATGACGAAGTTTTTTTTAGTTCAGAAAAAAGTACATAGTTTATACGCTACAATTTACGGGCATAGTTTTTACACAATTTTTAGCGAGAAACACCCGTATTTCTCCGGCGAATATATTTTTCTGATTGATTAAGTTTTGTTATTATTATTCAGATGATATTATTAATATCATAAATCTTAATTAATTTTAAAACCATTTTTAGACGATGCATGATCATTTTGGAACCTTAGGTCCTGGCAAGGTAATTTTGTTTAGAAATAATAAATCCTTCACATTTTTTATTCAAACATTATTTTAATGTTTAAAAAAAAAAAATATTTATTTAATTTCCATAAACTTGGTTATTTAAGAGATTCTAAGGTATAGTTTATTTTAAATTTAAAAATATTTTTTAGATTAGAAATATTCTTTTTTAATATTTTTTGCTAAACCTGTCTTTCTATACTTTCATAGTTTTTTTTCTGGAGCAAATTATTTGAATTTAATTATTTGAACGTTTAGAACTGTTTGATGTTACTTCCTAAGTTCCACGCGTATGGTTTCACCATGTCCCTTAACAGTATTCTCAAGGGAGCAGTCTACACCACCCTCCCCAGGTTATTTAGCTCCTTGAACCCTTGATTCCGTGATTCCTCGATTCCTCGATTCCTTGATTTCTTGATTCCGTGATTCCTTGATTCCGTGATTCCTTGATTCAGTGATTCCTTGGTTCCGTGATTCTGTGATTCCTTGATTCCTTGAATCCTTGATTCCTTGATTCCTTGATTCCGTGATTCCTTGATTCCTTGATTCCTTGATTCCTTGATTCCTTGATTCCNTCCTTGAATCCTTGATTCCTTGAATCCTTGATTCCTTGAATCCTTGATTCCTTGAATCCTTGATTCCTTGAATCCTTGATTCCTTGAATCCTTGATTCCTTGAATCCTTGATTCCTTGAATCCTTGATTCCTTGAATCCTTGATTCCTTGAATCCTTGATTCCTTGAATCCTTGATTCCTTGAATCCTTGATTCCTTGAATCCTTGATTCCTTGAATCCTTGATTCCTTGAATCCTTGATTCCTTGAATCCTTGATTCCTTGAATCCTTGATTCCTTGAATCCTTGATTCCTTGAATCTATAAATCTTTAATTCTTCTTCTTTAAAAACACAAAAATGTTGCAAATCTTTTATGTTTTTGTATAACTTACAGGGACTGTAGAGGAAAAATTAAAGGGCTTTGGTTTAATTTTGACACAGTTTTATATCAATTTCTCGTGACAGGGACATCAGATAGAACTAATATTGGTTGCGATCATCTCCAAGAAAAAGGCCATGCAGGAATGAAATTTGCTCTATGACGATAAAAATATCGGTCACATCAATACTGTTCTCACTCCTGACTTAGTGACACATATCCTCATATATATATTGACTGTTTGTTTACAGATATACCGAGGTATGGGAAACTAGTTGAAATCTATAAATACTTGGTTTATTTTCTATGTAAGGTTACGCTCGACAGTTTAGGTCAAACCCCCTCCCTTCTCTCCCCCTCATCCTTTTACTCCTTTTACTCCCCCTCCCCCATCCGTCTTCTCCTTGAGAAACCCCGTGAAGGTTAACTCTGTTATTGACCAACTTTCCTGAAATTTAAGATCATTCTCTTAAATAAGAGTGATTGGCATGAGTAAGAGTAGGGGAGGGGAGAGGGTATTTTTGAAATAAATTGTCATACATAATTTAGTATCGCTAAAACATAAGAATGTCCTTTTCCCCCAGTTTCTCCTCCTTTGCATGTAGGTCAGCTAGAGGTTAGGTTTGGGTCAACTTCTTCCTGTGTCAGATTCAGTTCTGTGTCCTGGGAGACTAAAGCAGGTGTACAATGTTTACCATGTACATAATGTATACCCCTCTTTCTGGAAAAAATTGAATTTGTTAGACTTGGCTAACATTTTTTGAGGGTACCCGTGGGTTCCCTCAAAAAATGTCAGCCAATTTGGTTCAACCGTTTAGCCGGCTATCTAGCTAACATGTATAAATATATATATAAATATATTAAAGTAAAAAGAGCCTCTTTTCTAAATCTTTATCTTTCTATGTTTATTAGCAATTATATTGCTAAAGGTGACTCATGTATAGATATATATAGATTACATCTGCCCTTGTCATATATAATATGATGTATTCCTTCTAAGTTTTGTAACCCTATACTCGACCCCCCACCCCCACCCCCTCCCTAGCAGCTGTAATCCTAGTAACCTACCTCTTTAAACATAACCTTTCTTTAAACCCCCCACCCCCAGACCTTTAAAAGAATATGTAAGCTCTAGTCGGAAAATAAAAAAATGCATTGTGTAATATACAAAATAGCATCATAGTATAGATAGAATGAAAAATTAAGAAGAGGAAAAATGGCAAAAAAAGAAGAAAACAGGATTCGAGAATTAGTATGAAAAGGAAATTAAAAAATAGTGGGAGGATAGAAAAAAACGAAATAATACTGTGTCACGGAAGTTTGTAGCAACATTTTGACTCCACTGGAGACCACTGTAATAAAACAAATTAAGATGAGAAACTAGGATCAGCAAAGTATATGGAAAACGAGAATATGAAAAGCAATATCAAAAAAGAATGTAAGGAAAATGTAGAAAATAAAAAATAAAAATAATAAAAATTTGAAAAACAAAGTTAAAGAAAATACTATCTTGAGAACACGGCGTTGCTAAGGGTTTAAAAACTCATATGTTACCAATGTTTCTATCAACACAATTATGATTTAATTTGTGTTCAACTCTAAGCTATACATGGACCAACTTATATTTGGAAATCCCAGTCACGTGACCACTTTGAATTGAGTTTGAGGGAAAATGAATTACAAGTGATGGGGAGCATTATTAAAGGATAAAGGATAGGAAGGAAGGATGCGACCAATAAAAGGTTTATCAGGAATTAATAAATATGAACAATAAACGGTACTCAGAACTCATGGACAAATCTCTTAATATTTCCTCTCAATTAGTAGATATGGATAGCAGATATAGATGTTAAAAGTAGATATAGATCCGAAGAGGATATGATTCAGAAAGGGGGTGGGTGGGTGGGTGGGGGGGTTATGGCCTAATGATGATGGTACAAAGATAGGAACATCATAAAGGATGCATGAGGATAAAACAAGATTTAAAACGTTGGCTAAAAATAATAGGTTTTAAAGGTAGTAGAAAGATAATTTGGGATAAAATATGATATAATTTAATTATGAATCAAATGTAACTTTTTTACTTAATTTTCGACATTTTTTAAGAGGTTTTAGTAAGAAATCACCAAGCGTTTGAATAAAAATCATTTTTTAAATCAATTGAAAAAAGAACAAGATATTCAATTTTTTTTAAACGAAATTGTTGCTAAAATATTTAATTGAAAACTTTTCTGATGTTTTCTCTTTTTACAATTTGCAGAGTGAATTTTTCATTTTTGATTTTGTGTTATCACAGGAAAATTTCTCAAGAAAAATGTTTTATTATACAAAAACAAACAATTAAGATTAGTTTAAATCAAAGGACATTAGATTACAATCAAAACTCCTCTTGTTGAAGCGTGCATTAAAAGAAATAAAATTGTTTTGAATATCTATAATGCAACCGGAGTCCGAATTTAATGAATTTGAGTCACGTCTCAAATCCCGCAAAACCCGTATTAATTAAGCGCCGGGTTAAATCTTTAAACATTGAATACGATTTTAAGTGGAACCAACCATATTTAAGCCGCGGCTCAAATTCTTTAAATTCGGCCTCGAATAACTTTTATAAAAGTTTTCTTGTGCGTTATAAAATTAGAATTGGAGTAAACCTAAGTTACAATTAGCTTTCTCTGGGATATCATCGTTTTCAGATTGGTTGCTTATTTGCTGAATTTGATCTATTTAAACCCACTGCTTTTATACAAAATTGTATATATATTAATTTTCGTATAAATTTGACACAGTTGTATATCAATTTTTCGAGATAGGAACATCCGATATAACTTTTATGGGTCGTGATCGAGAGCTAAAGAGATTAGCTTTCAGCCTTATACCCCCTTTCAGGGGGTGAGCTCCAAGAATTCATGCTGAGAAAAGGGATGTTTCCTCTCGTATTACTGAACTGGACTTTGTTTACTTATTTTCATGTTTGTTTATATTTCTGATCAGGTTCTATTGTGAGCTTGAGTGTGGCTTGAGGTCAGATATTTCTGTTTGATATTTGACTGTCTATTTGTCTGTCTATTTGTCTGTCTGTTTGTGTATTGGGCTTTTAAAGTAGCTACAGACATAATTCACGGACAGCCGTAGTACATTTGAATATCCAAGCCAGGTCAACCTTTCCGGTCCCAGTTTTTACTGTACCTAGCTCTATGGAAAGGACTAGCAGCCGGTGCAACAAGGTTGACGCGGTCAAACTGTATACTTCATTTAGGTTGAATTTACATTTACTCAAGGGGCAGATTTGCGTAAATTTCATAATTCCAATAGTAGGATGGCATGAACGATTCACAACGGAACCCTTTAAACCATTGTCTGATCATCGACGACGTAGAAATCCGTTTTTTCCCGCGAAAAGTGTGGAAACCACACCGGGAAACTGGACTACGTTTACATTGTATACTTATTGGGACAAATTATTTCTCGAAAATCCCGAACATTTTAATCTGGTTTTTAAAACTTATTTTTTTTTCCTAATTCTTTGTTAACGATGTCTTTTGCCACATCTCACCCTTTAAGTCTAAAAAACGATACTGCCAAGAGAACGCATTTTTAAAATCTAGATTTGAACCAATCTTAGCAATTGTCTTTTTATTTCATGATTATTTCATAATCTTAAAGAATATATTAATTTACAAAAAAACAATACTTAGAAATGGGACAGAAGTTTTCTTTATACATTATTTCAGAACACACCATTTATTATATCGACGAATACACTTAAAACAAATTATTTTCTTTAATGATTTATAAACTCCACAACAGGGTGACGCAGCTTTTTGCATTCATATTTTATATACTTTATTTTATATACCACAGCATTGTGGTCTAGGCTTTTCACCGAAAAAAATACAAGATTCCTACAACAGTAGAAAATAGCTTTTCGCTTTGTAAAATATATATATTCCAGTTTTGTTTATTGCATAAGTTTTTAAATAACGAAGAATAAAGATTAACGGAGCGGACGGATGGGATTTAAATTGAATCTTGAAGAGGAACCGAACAATTATATTTCAAATATCTAACCATTGTACTCTGGTCTATATTTATCTCCAGGTCTATTCTTGGACCTGCAGAGCCACGCCGGTCAGAGTTCGCTAACTTCCAGGTCCAGCTTTAAATAACAGGGATTTAAACTTTCTTACTCAATACCGGTCAACCCGTNGGGGGGGTAGATTGAAAAATTAAACAACAATTCATTAAAAATTGTAACGCGCGATATTTACTCACATATTTTTCATTTTATTTTTAAATCTACAAAATTGTTAACACCCCATTACATGCTAAAAAAAGAATTTGGCATTTAAATACAGGAAGAGGCCCTAAACAGGGTTAAGACGGGTAATATTGTATAACAAGAGCCAAGGGGTAGGAAGGGGGGGGCGGGGGGATTAACAAGATCAGTTTGGGGCCCTCATAACTATATTGTAAATAATGG